CTTGCAATTGTAGTTGTTGGTCTCATCAGTTCTAGTTTCTAGGGAATCGCTCGTGAGCCGTCTGTTCAATAACTGGACGTTTTTCTGCAATCCCACGCTGAGCTCCAGACATGGATATCATGGGTCATATTTGGGCAGGGGCCAGGAGATTACCTGTGCTGGATCACACATGGTGCTGTCCCTCCCAAGGACACATTTCTTCAGCGCAAACCCACTGTTTCGCATCTCTGCCATTAACTCGGAGGGGTGCATTGTCGGACCTGTTAGGACAAATCACTCTTTCAGAACAAATAATGTGTGATCATGCCAGAGAGACGTACACTAGCGGCTTTGTTAACACAAACACACACCAAATCAACTCCCTTGTCTTCCAGCTGGGTCAGGCGTACAGTATTATTCTGCTGAAGCAGAGGTTTCAACCAATCAAAACACTAAATAATAACATTTCCCCACCAACACAAGAGTAGTATCTATCTGCGCTCTGCTAGGGATGCACGATATATCGGCCACCATATCGGTATCGGCCGATAAATGCAAATTTTTTCTGTTATCGGTATCGGCCCGATAAGAAAATTTGGCCGATATCTTAAAGCCGATAAATAATGCATTATTTCCTTCAGAGAAAAATAAAGAATTATCGGTCAAAAATTTCATATCGGTACATCCCTAGCTACAACATACACACACTGTGAGCAGCTCTCAGGAGACACTGCCGCCACATTGATTCATCTGAATAATAGAAACGCAACCACACAAACGGAGAGAAAAGTATCAAGGTACACCACACTACCTCAAAGTCTTTTAATTTGAAGATAAAGTGATACTCCACCCAAAAATTAAAATTATGTGGTTATTTTCCCACCTTCATGTTGTTCCAAAACTATTTAGAAAAATATCAGTGATTTATTTGTCAAATTCTGTCCAAGTCAGTGTTGTTTGGTTCCCCATGTTCTTCAAAAAAAATATGATTTTTATTTCTTTTTAAATTTTGGGTGGAGTATCTATACAACTTAGATTCTTAGATTTTATTCTGGAAACAGTGTTATTTTAGTATCACTGACATACTATTATAGTTCTTGTTATTATTTTGAATTAAAGTTTTAATTTTGTAGCATGTTTTTGTCATGTTTATTAGTTGCTGTTTTTAAATAGCAAATTTAAATTTTTTTTTTATTAATAGTTATTTGTTTGTCTTAGTTTTAGTTATTTTAGTACTTCAAGGTAAACTAAATGAAAATTAGAAATGTTGCCTTGGAAATTAGCTGAAATAAAATAAGTTCATATATATATATATATATATATATACACACACTACCGCTCAAAAGTTTGGGATCAATAAGACTCGTAATGTTTTTTAAAGAAGTCTCTTATGCTCATCAAGGCTGCATTTATTTGATCAAAAATACAGAAAAAAAACAGTAATCTTGCTAAATGTTATTACAATATAAAATAATGGTTTCTATTTTAATATCCTTTAAAATATAATTTATTTCTGTGATGCAAAGCTGAATTTCCATCAGCCATTACTCCAGTATAAAGTGTCACATGATCCTTCAGAAATCATTCTAATATGCTGATTTCGTTTTAGTAAACTATAATAACCCTGTCTATATTTGAGTTGACATGTCTGGATAATAATAGTAGTTTGTGTATGAAATATTCCATCATATTTTTTATTCTTCAAAAGAAATGTATTTGCTATCACTACATTTATCTGGTCTTAACAAGATGAAGATTTTTCAGACAGAATGCTTCATGCATTACAAGGGATCAATGTTCATCAGGTTAGCATACTTAAAAATAAAAATACTTCACCAGCATCATATAATCTCAAATAATTTATTAGATTATAGTAGATCATCTAAAACCTTAAAAACATGAAATGCACTTAAATGTTTGCCTAACTGCTTCAGCTCAGGATAGTTACTCCTGAAGGTTACTACTGTTAGGGACTGTGTGTGTGTGTTCTAAAGTCCACTTTCATATGATGCCATTAGTCACATGGCACTGGCTCAAAAACACCTGTATTCAGAACTTTTTTTGTATTGTAGAATTTCTAGGTGCATTTTTAGACACTGTCGCCATCTACAGGTCTGAAAGTGTATATCAGCTCTAATATAAGTGGAGCAAACCTGCCATAAGGACTGAATTGGACACTATAAGGAAAGAGCATTATACCTGCTTCATCACTGGCCATAGAGCTAGCGTTGATCCCTGATAGACCAAAGAGGGGACACTCACGATCCGTGTTCACATGACCCCATTTATGACACTTAATGCAGCGCACATTCCGCACCTAAAACAATTAAACAAGTGCAACACTCACAATGTTCACTGCATCTAGACATTTGTGGAATAATCGTTAATCTACATATATGAAGGTGTAGAGCACAGAATGATACGTCACCTGAATGCCTAAAGGCTGATCTCGAATATTCATGTCATCCTATGCATACCTGAGAAGATAGAAAATAACAGTAAGAAATGCATAAACGTGCAAATTTGAGAACCTATAACAACTTGTGAACTTACTTTTCACGAGGAGCTACTTTCTGCCACTCAAACCTGTACTCAGATTCTCCTTCCTATGGAGGAGATAGTGCAGTCATTTTAGGTGATACCATGAGCTGCCTGTGGAAAATGCCTTCATAACTCTGTAAAGCCTAACATATGAAATAATAGTCAGAAAAATCTAATTTTATGAAATGAAACATTTTACAATTTACACATTTAGACAAAATCTTAAATGTGATGTTCAAAGCTCTGTAGTATCAAAACATAAAATGCAATGCAATACAATTGTGATTGAGAGATGAACAAATAAATGTTCCTCAAAAGCCTGATGACCATATTTGATAAACACATCTTAACATTATTTTTCTAAAAAAAAAAAAGATGTATGGATAATCAAATAAACCCCAAGTTGCTTCAGTCCCGGAAATGTTCATCCTGAAATACTGTTAACAATTTAAAATGTATTCTTATGTTTACTTTATAAAAAACAGTAAAGATTTCACAGCAAAACAACACGCGTATGACTACGTGAAGGGGATGTTATTTCTTGATAAAACAATGATAAACTATTAATCAGACAACAGAAGGCATGTATAACTTTGTGCTTTTGAGGAAATTTGATCACGGTGATGATTTACATGCCTTAAAAATGTGTCTATTAAATATAATGCAGTAGGCTTTATGGGGTTAAACACACTTGACGAGTTTAATATTCAGATCTAAAAGTGTGACAGAGCACAATCACTAATAATCAACAACAAACTTTAACATAATGTAAATGAACATGACCTCTTTAGTCTCCTCTGGAGGAAGTTGGTGATGATATAAAGAATAAAAAAAAAAAAACAGGTGAATACATACTCTTTAGTTTAACTTATTTTTTTTTCAGGTTCTTAATTTTCTTTGATTAAATCAAAAATATTTATGTATTCATGTTTAGTCATGATTAGGAAGAAAAAGATAAGTTAGCATCACTTACATGAATGACTTTATCGCAAGTGTATCACCTTTAGATGCTCCTGGAGGTGCTTCATACATGAAATTAAGGCCATTCTTCACACGATCATCTCCCATCAGCAGTCTGGAATATAATACATGCAACAGACAAATTCACAGGTAAATGCCTGAATATTATTCCCAGGTTTATGAAGCAAAATACCAAGATAAACTCAAACGGGTTTCAAAAGCACATTTAATGAACTGAAGTCTTGCCAGCACATGTGACTGCTGTGTGCAGCTCCTCTAAGCTGTTGTTGTATGTGTCCTGCTCCTTCAGGTAAGCCTGCATCAGCTCCTCCTGCTGCTGCTTCTTCTCGAAGGTTAGTTTTTGCTCTGCGATCCATGCCTGACAATCAAAGTGATGAAGAGTTTGCCTGATGAGAGCAGGTTGCCTCTCAACATACTAATAAACGACTGCCTTCATCTGAAAACATCACACTCTGCTTTCTATATAATTAACTGATCAAACAAACAAAAAAACATTATATCATTACAACCATGTGATGTGTTTGTGACTAAATTCATTTGCGTGTCCAATTAGAAACATACAGAAAGATCTGAACTAATGTTGACAGCAGACCGACAGTCGCTTGCTAGCTAAAACCTCCCGCTTACCTTCTTTATGTTGGATTTTGAAGCAGGATGGAAATGTTTTTTGCACATGAAATTAGCAAAAGACTTCCCCATGTTCGACCACCAGTGTAACGATCAAAACTTCAAAACAAAACAACAGCAGCGGCGCTTCTTTATGACGCAATGACGTTGAGAGCGGCGCAACGTATCTCATCCGGGGTTTTCCATATTACTATTAACAACTATTTCTATGAGGTAAATGTATTATTCATAAATATAAATTTGGGAGAAATAAGCCGTCAAGTTGAACAATACCTAAAACATTATTAAGTTAAAAAAAAAAAATTAGAAAGCTGTAAAATGAGATAATATTTGTAAACATTTTAATGTTTGACTTTTATTATTTAATTAATTTATTTATTTATGCATTCATTCATTCATCCTAGCTGGCTGTATTTGTAAGAATAAAGAAAGAAAGAAAGAAAGAAAGAAAGAAAGAAACCAGGTTTTTCCAAATGTTTTTATTTTAATTTCAAAACATGTACAGCGCATGTAGTAATACATCATAATAAATTATGTCAAATCAACATTATTATACAAGTGTTTCATTTTCATTTGACTGATTTGCATTATTTTATCATTTTCTATAATTATATTTGCACTCCTGTAATGTTTGTTATTTATATTATACTTGTTTTGCATTATGTTGATATATTTTCTATTTGATAATGCTTTTATAGTGCAGTGTTTGCGACAGCGGAATCAAATAGCCAATCAAAAAAGCTACTGCGCAACCATGTGACTGGTGCGCCGTTGCTCCGCCCACTTTACCCCGCTGATTAAACACACACGTGGATCGACTGAGACTCACGCATTAGATCGGTTGCGCGGGTGTTTGCATGATAATGAATCAGGTCGCCGAGCATGCGGATTTATTTTGTGTCAGTCTGCAGGCAGTTCTGTTTATGGAGAAAGGAAAAGGAAAGTAAACAGATGCTTAATCTCATCGGACAGAACAGTGATCCTCGTCGTACCTGGTAGTTGTATATACGCTGAGTTGGACAAGGTAAATCATATTATGTAAGGCATATTGTATACGAATGATTGTAAAAATGATTGCTGTAATATTTGAATCAGCGTTATGCATCTTAAAAGCTACCATAATAGTGGTAAAGAATACTTCATGCAAAGACCTATATGCTACTAAGAGTTCATTCATGCTGTTGATGTGGTATATTTTAATTTCCTGGTACTTCAAGGTCAGTTTTTTTTAATTTTATTTTATTTTTTATGAATCAATGGTTGCCATGTCATCCATGCATGAACAGAGATGTTGGCATCATAACTCCTAAAGTAGTTTTTCAGCACATGAACACTGTATGTTATTGGGCAAAAACATTGAAATAATCTCCACTGAATGTTTTTGTTTATACACTTTTTATTTCAGGATGTACCCAACCTCCTGCGACACTTTTGTAGCCTTGCCTCCATCTACAGAGGGTCAGCGGATAGTCTTCGGAAAGAACTCGGACAGACCCTGCGATGAAGTTCAAGAGGTGGTCTACTTCCCTGCTAAGAGCCATGAACCAGAAGAAAAAGTTGAGGTATCTCGAGAAGATCTGATCCAGCTGTATTTTCTTCCACAGGCTTCAAATGAGTAGTGTACACTTGATTATTGTTCAAAATCTGATTATCGAACATAAAAGAACCCTTTTGTTAAACGATTCTGTTTGTCATGTGATCAGTGTACATATATAGAGATAGAGCAGGTGGCTCAGACGTATGCAGTGGTCCTGAGTCGTCCCGCCTGGCTGTGGGGGGCAGAGATGGGGGCAAACGAGCATCAGGTGTGCATCGGGAACGAGGCGGTTTGGGGGAAAGAGAGTGCGGATGGTGAAGAGGCTCTCCTGGGCATGGATCTCGTCAGGTAATCCAAGAAACAGCTTTTCAATTCAACATTTCATATTCAGCATTGACTAATCTAAATGCTATAATTCAGAATATGTTGCAGGTTCATTAAAAAAAATTCAATTTCATGTGGCAATGTGTGCGTTTATATGGGACGGGGTTTTTTTTGCATGTCTTTATGAAGTCTTGAATTAAGTTTGATCAAATTTAAAGGGATAGTTCATCCAAAAATGAAAATTGGATGTTTATCTGCTTACCCCCAGGGCATCCAAGATGTAGGTGACTTTGTTTCTTCAGTAGAACACAAACTGAGATTTTTAA